ACAGTCTCTCTGATTCAAGTTTTCATCTTTTATTGTGAAGCACTTTGTGAAGTTTGTTCTAGAAAGATGCTTTATCAATAAACTGTTCTCAACAAATTAATGTTATCAGTAGAATTCTTGTGCTTTTCTTTTTTCAAGCTGTGTCATTGAGCCTTGCATTATTAAGAGCCATGCAGGCTTTAGATTAAACAAATCAAGTCTCAAAATGAAACTTAGAAGTCTACAACACACAGTAAGGATCAAAGAATCAAACCCTAAACAAAACACTGTGAAGTGCAGATTTGTAAAACAATCTGTCTCATGTGTACTTCTCTGAGGGGACACTCCGCTTGAGCAGAGCTTCTGCTAATTTCAAAGGAGCAATCTGTAACTCTGACACCTAGTGTTTAAAATGGGTACTGCAGTTAAGATTCAAAAATTATAGAGCGCTGTCTCCCCCTGCCCCCTCCTCTCTAGAGTTGATGCTCACGCAGGTTGCCATGTGGTGGACTCTGAAGCTTCAGTGTTTATCCAGCTCTGCATCGGTCTGTAAACCTTTCTGTGTTCTAACCTCTCTCCATTTTTCAAAAGCATCTCCAATGTTGATCCTAGTTTGAGCACGTTTCTGCTCGTGGAGCTTATTAGAAACATGCAGAGGCTTTTTAGGTCGAGTAGCATCAGTTCTATCTGACCCAGTTTGCTTGCCCGTTTTCCGTTTGACAAACCAAGGGGAGTCCAAAACAGCAATGTAGGGGTGCCTTAAAACCGCCTACCTTCTCTGGTCCAAACAAATGGAGACCAGAATCTAAACTTAGAAGCTTCTGATGTGACTGGAATCACTGAAGGTGGAAAAATCGTAATATTCAGCTAACAGCCGCAACCAAAAACTCCACCTGTCATACAGTTACAACATCAGACTTTTCAAGAGTGTGTCACCTCATGCTCGAAGAAACGGTCCTCCAGAGTTTTGTCTCCTGGGTTGCTGCCGGCTCCCTCGAAAAGCAGCTTGTACTCCTGAAGACAGAAAACACCATCAGGACAAAAGAAATAAGTGAACAACACAAACCAGCAGGACTGATTTCAAAGTTTTTAAGAATCTGGTTAGGACACTAATCACACAAATGGATCCAAACATAAGACATTACATCATATAAATGCTAAAATTATGTATTATTAAGGCTGATTAGATCTCAGTGACCAATCAACTGTTGGACTTACAGGATAGAAATCAGCGACGGCCTTGACCTGCTCATAATCATCTGCCCGGGCCAGCTGAGCAAGGCCTTCTGGGTAAAGCTTTCCACAGTGAGGGAAGAGCTTGGCACGGTCCTCTTTGGACAGCTCCGTGCCGAAGGAGTTGATGGTGATGATGAAGGCTCTCCTGTCGGCCTCGAACTGCGGCAGAGAGACGAGGGTCAGAGGAGCAACGGCAACATACCGACTGAACAGACACTTACACATCTATAGACACTGAGCCTATTTAAAGGAACATTTAGGGATCAAACTCTCACATTTTTATCCTTTTCAATCCTCCTAAAGTAAATATAAAAATCTAATAAATCACTAAAAGCCAGATTAAGAAATCATGCAATACTGTCCCAAACTGAAAGGCTGAAAAATGATGGAGAAGCAGTTAAACTCCAGATATGCTTTGTAGCAGAACTCTTTCCTGACACATCAGGTTTTAACAACAGCTGTGTGATTATGAATTTGTTTGCACGTGTGCCTGATTTGTATTTTATTTTTTTAAAGAGAGAGTCACCTCCAGAATAGGGCACATGGTATCAGCTGTGGTTCCTCCGAGGTTGGAGCAAAACTTATAGAAAGCTTCAAGGTACGCCTGAAAAAGAGGAAAAATTACATTTACAACACCATCCCTGTTCATGTCTCAGTCAATATAATCAAGTATTTAGTTTATTCTCAGTATCAACAATGTCAGATGTGTTTTGCTTTTTCAGTTCTTTTACCATTTCCAGACATCAGACGATTCAATTTTATGCCTTTATAAATCAACTTTCTCTTTCTAAAATTGTTCTTAATCACTCAAACTCCCACAATAACTCAAATGTTTTACCTTGTAAAGTGTGTTACGGATAATTTCAATGTTCATCTCATCCAAGTCTTGTTCAGATATGCAGTCCTGGAAGAAAGCAGCTGAAGGGAAAAGAAAAATAATTTAGATCAAACACAAAGAAAGAATATCTGAATCTCTCTTAAGCTTTGGCTCCACCTGCTGTCCTGAAGGAGACATTACAGTTCAGTTTTTACAAACATTAGGCTACAAACCCAGGGGCGTGTCCACCAGGATGGCGTTGTAGAGCTCTGCAGGAGTCTGGGCGATGTTGACCGCCTCCATCTGCTCGAAGCTGCCCAGCGGGTGACACTTTGGGACCAGCTCGGAGATGGCCCGCTGGTGGAGCGTCCCCGTGATCAGCAGGATGACGTTATCAATCATGTAGCTGTATCTGAGGGGCACAAGGCAGGCGGGGAGAGATTGTCATGATGGAGCAGAGAAGACAATCCCATCGTTTTGCTTTTTCTGTTACAGTGGGATCAAGATGGAAACCCTTTTGGCTTTTACTTAAAAAATGATCATGTGTGGCTTTTTATCAAGACACTTCAAAAGCATGTTTTGGGGACCTCTGAGACTTATATAAAAGGGGTTGCAAAGAAGTATAATATGTGACCTTTTATATACAGTAACACATTATTTAAAAGGTGCGTTATTCTGCTTTTTATCTTCAACACTGCAAATCATCAGCGGATGTATTTACAGCTGGAGACTGTCAGATCTCTTGAATGGTTGAGTCAGTTCCCTACACAGTTCATGTTTACAGCCAATGTACCAAAAGATAACGTAACGCTGACAGAGAAAACACAAAATCGACTGGTTTGAAAATTCAGCAGGTAGTGTTACACTTAAAAAGATTTAACTTATTTGGACATAAAAGCTTTCTGCTTACGTGATGAAGTCCATAAAGCTGGCGAGAGGCTCATACGACTGGTTCCTCATGTGGCGGAACTCCACCACCATCTTCTCCTTCAGCTTGTCGTCGATAACGGACACGGTGAGGGGAGACGCCTCGTTTGCGAGGAAGCTGCCATAGTCTGTGCTCTGCAGGTGGAGCTTCAGATCTGCAGGAGAGAAACATGGACGGTGAAGACACAGCTAGAGCTTAGAAACGTTGACAGACATCTGCAAATAATGTGGCATGAACAGATGTCAGTGGCCGATGTTTATTTGTTATATCTAGTATCTACTAAACCTAACTGCTGATTCAGAGAAGAGGTTTTTTATTGGGCAGATGAAGTCACCTGTTGGAACAAACTCTGACTTGTTTTCATCAAACATGAGAGAAATTGTTGGCATTGTGGGAGTCTTACACCGAAAGAAATGATGCAATGAACATCGGTATTTGAATTGGCAATCAGCTTTGTTGTAATTTCAAACATCGGCCCTGATTTTCCTCATTGGTGCTTCTTTATACCGTACTATTTTATTTACATTATTTAACCAACTGTCAAAATTATCATGTACTTTTTACATATCTGCTGACTATTCTTTAAAACAGCCTCAGCATTTCAATTGATGATAACCTTTTAAAATGAATGAATAGTGTAAAATTCTCCTTAAACAGCAAAACTGTGGACAGGTTTAATTCCTGGGAGGTTGATCCTGTCCCCAAAAATGTGGAACCCTCTCTGTGCAGTAATTCCACACATTTATACTACTATAAGTAAAGTTTACATAATGTTTCACAGCATCAGGAAATCATGAATAGATAGATAGATGTCCATGAGTCAGGCCTTCTTTAACTATTTACAAACAAAAACTATTTACAAAGCAAATATGGGATATAGACTTGTAAATTGTAAATCACGGATTTGATCTTGCTTTGAAGGACAGCATACAAACCTGCTTCATGGTCTGAACACATAGCAGCATTATTCCGTCTTTCTTGCACAGATGACACCTTTATTTTGTTTGTCTTGCTGCTTTTTCTCCTTTTTGATGCACAATTTATTTAAACAATAAATGTGTAGAGGCCTCTAATTGAATCCTGCCTGTATTTGTCAAAATGTGCAGCAGAGTAAAAGAGACTGGGCCTTAAATTAGGATGTAGGTGTATTGAAGTATTACGATCGTTACATATATCAATGATAGATTGTATTTATTGCAATACTAGCTCAGTTATGTTGATGTTGAACAGCTTTTACCCTCTGGGAGAAGACCAGGCTGAACTGCTATAAACATTGATTTGAGCAGATGTCCACAAATATTCTGAATAACAGGTCATGTAGGATGATGTGCAACATGTCAATATGTCCCAGCTGCAGGAAGGTGTTTTTTATGTATACCTGTAGAATTGTTACATGTTTTCTATGATCTCTATTTATATATGTTTAATTGTCTTGTAATTGCAGGACAGAGTCCAGGACAAATTTCCATTTGAGGACCATAAATTATATCTTATCTTAAACGTTATCAGAAAAAGATGTATTACACGTGCAGCACACCTGTATCAGGTATTGTTTACATTATATGTCATAGCATCATGAGATAGAGAGAGATAGAGATATAGATAGATAGAGATAGAGAGAGAGAGATAAAGAGATAGATAGATAGAGATAGATAGAGAGAGATAAAGAGATAGAGATAGATAGATAGAGATAGAGAGAGAGATAAAGAGATAGAGAGATAGATAGATAGAGAGAGATAAAGAGATAGAGATAGATAGATAGAGATAGAGAGAGAGAGATAAAGAGATAGATAGAGAGAGAGATAAAGAGATAGAGATAGATAGATAGAGATAGAGAGAGAGATAAAGAGATAGAGAGATAGATAGAGAGAGATAAAGAGATAGATAGAGAGAGAGATAAAGAGATAGATAGAGAGATAGAGAGATAGATAGAGAGAGAGAGATAGATAGAGATAGATAGATAAATAAATAAATAAATAGATAGATAGATAGATAGATAGATAGATAGATAGGGAGATAGAGAGACAGAGATAGAGATATAGATAGATAGATAGATAAATAAATAAATACATAGATAGATAGATAGATAGAGAGATAGAGAGATAGAGAGATAGAGATATAGATAGATAGATGGATAAATAAATAAATAGATAGATAGATTTAAGCTTAACTATCAGAAAATAAGTATTTATTGCAATAAAAGATCAGTTATGTTGATGTCTAACATCATTCACTTTACCTTTTAATGACCATAATAAAACTGAATAATAAAACTGAATAATAAAACTGCGGCTTTATAATTACAGTGCTGGTAACATAATGTTATAGATTGAGCTTTCTGTGAATACATCATCTCTTCATACAGTAATTTCACTTCCTCTAGAAAGTCCAACATTAAGAAGTGATCACAGGCTAATGTTAGCTCCCTGAAGCTGAGCAGATATCAACCTTTATGAACCTTTATGAACCTTTAAGAACCATTATCAAACGATTATTCACCTTTAGTCTCAGTTATTCTTTTTTTAGAACGAGGTATTACGTGATAAAGAAAGAAATCCCGGTGAGAAAGCACACATACGTGACTGACAATATGAGAAATGTCTCGTAGCTCACCAGCTTTGACAGCTTGCGTTAGCTTAGCGTTAGCCCTGTCAGTTAGCAGTTAGCTTGCACTCACCTTCCAGGGTCTCACACTGAACCAGGTTTAAATAATCCGCCTGGGACAATATGCCAGCTTTAAATCCTCTGACCAGCCCCTCCAGGTAGCCGTTATCGACGTTGAAATACAGCTCGGAGAAAGGCATCCTGTCTGACCGTCAGATCCGTCTCTGCAGCAGGAGAACCGTCCGGCTGGTTAGCATCAGCTGACTGCCTGAACCACGTGACCGTCATCTGACCTGTCATCTGCGCATGCGCGTGTGTGCGCAATAAGCTTCTGTTTCCAATTTCACAACATGTAACCACGGTGTCCTCTTCAGATAATTTAAACACTGCATGTAAAGTTGTTTTAAATCGTAATAGATTAGTTGTTCTCTCTCCAGCCTGAGGATCCACCACCGAAATCATTATTTTTCAGCTAGGGGGATTAATTTAATAAAAAAAATAGTGGAGCTATGACCTCATAGAGTACAAATCATGTGACAGGAATGTGCTCAAAGTGCTTCATAGACTTTATAACACACTTTTCCTAAACTAGCGACCCACTGTGTTGGAGCCATGGATTGATATAATTGTCTTTGTGGTATTTATTTAAGGTTAAGGTAGTCTGTTATATATTGGTGTTTTGGGTTATTGATTATTATATCATTTATTAGGATTGTGTTGAGTAGGGGGGGGATGTCAGGTCACATGGTTATGGGCGGAGATGTGTTGATTTAACTCACCTGTTCACCTTTTTGTTCTCAGTGGAAGAGAGGGGGTGAGCTGGGTTGCTGTATTTTTTGTTCACTGTGATTATGAGTTAATGCACGTTATTATAAGTTAAGTTGATTATCTTTTTTACGTTAATAAGACAGTCAAACTTTTTTTTACGTATCACAGTATTCTTTTGAAAGCTCGTCGGACAAATATATTAGGCCCAACCTTAGACTCTTAGCAGCTTCATTGTTCATGAAAGCCGCTATACACTGAAAACGACTCTGTGACCTACTTTTGAGTCCAAAACCACCACTGGAGAACCAATAGGTTAGATGGTGCGGAATAAAGGTACCTACAGTGACTAATTAAATCAATGTTGGATCACTTCTTAGATATCACTTCAAGAAGATAAAACTTTATTAATCCCACAAGGGGAAATTCAATTTTACATTCTGTTGTTAACATGTTGACATGCTACACACACATGCACAAACAGGATCCAAAGGACATTAATGGAGATATGTCAGAGTGATTGGGCTGCTCACAGCAGGCACTGCTTGGCTGGTATAGAGGGCCTTGGCAGTGCTCAGAGGGTGAACTGGCATCTCAACACTTACCAGACCAATTTCCCAGATTTGGTCTGCATCTGGACTTGAGCCAGCGACCCTGTATAAACCAGCTCTCTCAGAATGCTCCGTTTTGGTGTGTGTGTCTCTTTAAATGTAATGAGCCCCCCCCTGAGTTTTCCTGGTAGACATCACTCCTTCCCAAGCAAGAATAAAAATGGCAGACCTGTGCAAAAGTTTAGTTCTAGTCTGGGGGTGGAGTCCATGGGTGGAGATACTGTGACATCACAAGAGAGCAAATGTGAAACGGAGCATTTTTCTCTGTGTTGTAAGACTTATACAGACCACAAACAAAGGACTGGATGGGTTTATTTCACATTTTGTGGGTCAGTAGACACTCAGGTTACCCAAATAAATGTTCAAAAACACTGTGAAAGTGGGTTTTTCATAATATCTCCCCTTTAAAGTTAGTGATGAATCTCAAAGCTCTGTATGTTCAGAGAATGTAAGACAGCGCCATAGTCCAGCGCAGTTTATAAAAGTGGCAGCAACAGATAGATAGATGACACCAAAGTAATATTCAGAGGCCTTTAAGGCACTTCGATCTGGCATTCAGCTCCATATTCATTTTGAAGGATTGACTGGTGAACTAAAGAGTGCTTCAGTCCTATTAAAAAGTTGAACCCTGTATCTCAGGTGGTTATATTTTAAATTCGCTGTTCAGGGCGTGTTTAGGGTCAGGGACAATGCCAGACTGCATGTATGGCGACGTGATTGTACCTAACACTTACCTGTAAAAAGTAATGATCATAACTACACATCAGAAATACAACCTTTGTTTTCTTTCCCTAATGTCAGTTTTTTATGTCATGCACGCTGAAAGTTGTCAGGTGAAAAGATTAATTATGATACATTGTGTAAACACACAAACCTGGAACTGCTCCAGGAGCTCTGTGGATTTACTGGAACAGATCAGCCTTGTTAGACCGGTAGTCTGGAACTAAACAATGACGATTTAAAAAAGGATAAAGTCACACTGACAGGAGCAGACGAAGACTGAGGAGTCTTTTCTGTTTTCTCTCTTGATCTGGATCGGACTTGAGGAGGTAAGTATCCTCACCTATAATCAAACAGAAAGTTGAACTGTTGACTGTAGTAAACATACTGCTACGACTTTGGTTGAAATGTATTTTAAAAATTAATCAATGCTTTTTGTTTGTGTCAAGATGCACTCTCCACCATGAATGTGTCTGAGGAGACCTACGATGGAGTCTGTAACACTCATCATGATAAGCAGACCAAAGTTGAGAGGTGAGATTTAAACTTCTTGGACTGTTCAGGACTGTTCATCATCTCAAAGCTCAACTGTAACCTTAACTTCTGTGTATGTTGTGTTGAAGCATCATGAGGCAGTGGAGACCAGACCCAGCTGGACCCACGTGTGTGTCCATGAAGAGCGACTCGTCCATGTTTGAGCCGATGTTTTTCAAGGATGGGCAACAAATGTAAGTATTTTAAAATACTAAGTGTTAATGCTTGCCATGTTATTTTAAGATAATTATAGCTTATACTAGAAAGAATTCCTGCTCTGGATGAAAAAAATGAATTTAGACATGAAGTTGATCTGACACTTAACCCCAAGTTGGTCCTGCTGCTTCATCTGCAGCATATACATGTGTATGAATGTGTATAAATGGGATTAGTTACTTCTGATGGTCACTTTACACAGCAGCCTCTGCAATCAGTGTGTGAATGTGTAGGTGTGACCTGCGGTGTAAAAAGTGCTTTGAGTAGTCAGAAGACTAGAAAAATGAAAGACTCTGATATCTGAAGTAGTTTTTATTGATTGTTGTGTTTCTTATTTCATTAATATGTTGTTAAAATGAAAAAAAAAGAGTCCAAAGTTTTGATTACATTTCTTTTTCAAGGTTTATTTTTAGTTTTTTTAGAGATAGGACAGTCAGAACAGAGAGAGAGAGAGAGGGGAATGACATGCGAGAAAGGAGCCGCCGGTCGGATTTGAACCCAGGCCACTTGACAGACTATAGCCTCCATACATTGGGCACGCTCACTAACCACTACTGGCGCGCTGTGATTACATTTTTAACACTGATGGCGTTAAATTGAGTTTTACTTAAAAATTACAAAACTGCTTTATTTAAAAAATAGCAGAAAGAATATGGTTTTAAATGTTGTTACAAAGAGGAGAAATCTAGAGAGCCCTTGAATTCCCCCCCCCAGAAAAAAAAAAAGTTCATCGCACAAGATATTTACTTCAGGGCATAACTGTTTGGGACTTCAAGGGCTCCGTAGAATTCAGTTTTTTAAATAATCGCATCAAAAAATATAATGTACCATTTATTTTAATTTAAAGATTACAAGCCAGTTTTAATGCTATTTTTTCTGAATTGAGTGATAAACTTTTTTTGTGTTTAATCTTGGCAGAAAAAAACTCAAGAAATACATTCTTCAAATTTCTGTCAAATTACTTTTTACAGTGTAGTGTGATTTTTTTGTGGTTTGCTTTTAAGATCAGCCTAACCTGTCATGATGTGGTGTGTTGTTTGATTGTCTTTTGTTTAGTCATTCTGGGTCTTTTTATATACCTTCTACTATATTTGGTTGTAGCCCTGCTGAGGCACAGAAGAGACCGGACTCACCTGGACCCACCTGTGTGTCCATGAAGAGCGACTCGTCCATGTTTGAGCCGATGTTTTTCAAGGATGGGCAACAAATGTAAGTATTTTAAAATACTAAGTGTTAATGCTTGCCATGTTATTTTAAGATAATTATAGATTATACTAGAAAGAATTCCTGCTCTGGATGAAAAAAATGAATTTAGACATGAAGTTGATCTGACACTTAACCCCAAGTTGGTCCTGCTGCTTCGTCTGCAGCATATACATGTGTATGAATGTGTATAAATGGGATTAGTTACTTCTGATGGTCACAGCAGCCTCTGCAATCAGTGTGTGAATGTGTAGGTGTGACCTGCGGTGTAAAAAGTGCTTTGAGTAGTCAGAAGACTAGAAAAGAACGATACAAGCTCAAGTCCATTTACCATAAAAGATTTTTATGGTAAATAGACATAGTTAAACTATATCAGCTCATTTTATCCTGTTTTGTATTTGTAATTCATTTCAAGGATGGACTACTTGACAAGAATATGTCAGCATTCAATGAGGGACATCCTACATTTTTTAATAGAAAAAAAAAAGGTTGAAGCGTCAAAAGAATGAGCAGAATCAGGTTCTCTTCAATAATTCAGATGACTAATAAATAAATGGCTGATTACACACAAAGTTCAATGTGAAGAAAGGCAGTCTGAACTGACAGTCTGAGGAATTTGATGCTGTATAACAATCCTTTATACATCCTTTGGGAAAATGAAGAGTCTGATATCTGAAGTAGTTTTTATTGATTTTTGTGTTTCTTATTTCATTAATATGTTGTTAAAATGAAAAAAAAAAAAGAGTCCAAAGTTTTGATTACATTTCTTTTTCAAGGTTTATTTTTAGTTTTTTTAGAGATAGGACAGTCAGAAATTAGGACAGAGAGAGAGAGGGGGGAATGACATGCGAGAAAGGAGCCGCCGGTCGGATTTGAACCCAGGCCACTTGACAGACTATAGCCTCCATACATTGGGCACGCTCA